GCCAATTTGGAAAGCAGTATGGAGATTCCTGGGAAAGCTGGGAATGGAACCACCATTTGACCCAGCTATTGCCCTTCTCGGACTATTCCCTGAAGACCTTAAAAGAGCGTACTACAGGGATACTGCCACATCGATGTTCATAGCAGCACAATTCACAATAGCTAGACTGTGGAACCAACCTAGATGCCCTTCAATAGATGAATGGATAAAAAAAATGTGGCATTTATACACCATGGAGTATTATGCAGCACTAAAAAATGACAAAATCATGGAATTTGCAGGGAAATGGATGGCGCTAGAGCAGATTATGCTAAGTGAAGCTAGCCAATCCCTAAAAAACAAATGCCAAATGTCTTCTTTGATATAATGAGAGCAACTAAGAACAGAGCAGGGAGGAAGAGCAGGAGGAAAAGATTAACATTAAACAGAGACATGAGGTGGGAGGGAAAGGGAGAAAAAAGGGAAATTGCATGGAAATGGAAGGAGACCCTCACTGTTATACAAAATTACATACAAGAGGTTGTGAGGGGACTGGGAAAAAAACAAGGAGAGAAATGAATTACAGTAGATGGGGTAGAGAGAGAAGATGGGAGGGGAGGGGAGGGGGGATAGAAGAGGATAGGAAAGGTAGCAGAATACAACAGTTATTAATATGGCATTATGTAAAAATGTGGATGTGTAACCGTTGTGATTCTGCAATCTGTATTTGGGGTAAAAATGGGAGTTCATAACCCACTTGAATCTAATGTATGAAATATGATATGTCAAGAGCTTTGTAATGCTTTGAACAACCAATAAAAAAAAATTCTATATCCCATTTTAGTAGCTTATTCAAAAATTAGAACTAAGGAAACTGAAACACTAGAAATATTCAGAAAACAGATCAAAAACTAGGTTGGCTACTTATAAAAACAAGTCTGCTAACTTGACAGTCTATACTCACTGAAGAATCCATTAGTTTTCCCCCAACCATTAAGTTTGTGAAAATGTCATTAAAAACATCAGCAGTACTTCCTTACCTCCAAAACCATTTAATTGAAGATGGCATTACTCATCCTCAGGTAGCTCGAAATACAATAAAAGAACTTAATTACCTGAAGTGTCATTCAGCATTGTATCTTCTGAAATGAACTCTATTCCCAGCTTTTCTCCATTCTCCATGTAAGCTTTCCATAGGCTCTTGTTGGGTAGAACATTGTAATAATCATGTGCTCCACCTTTAATTTCTACCTAATAAAAAAAATTACAAAACAAATTTTGAAATTTAAAAAATGCAAATTCTCTAATTTTCAATCCAGTGAGGGTTCTAACGGAACAGATTTGTTGTTTTGGGCCAGGGATGGGGGGGTGTACTGGGGATTGAACCCAGAGGTGCTTAACCACTAAGCCACAACCCCAGCCAGTTTTTATATTTTATTTTGAGATAGAGCCTCGCTAAATTGCTGAGCCTGGCTTTGAACTTGCAATCCTCCTGCTTCAGCCTTCCAAGCCACTGGGATTTCGGGCATGTGTTACCATGCCCGCACTTTTCCATCCAGACATAAGCTTACTCAAATTCCCTACCATAAAAAAAAAAAAAAAAAAGTACCTTATAATGAAAGTTTTTAAGACCCTATCTCCCTAATGTTTTATTTATTTTATTATTATTTTTTAATATTTATTTTTTAGTTTTCAGCGGACACAACATCTTTGTTTGTATGTGGTGCTGAGGATCGAACCCGAGCCACACGCATGCCAGGCAAGTGCGCTACCACTTGAGCCACATCCCCAGCCCTCCCTAATGTTTTAAATGATCTAAACCACATAATGTCACCAAGCTCTAAACTAGCCAGCAAGTGTCAACTTCAGTCACCTGAAGAAGGTGTAGGGAGAGCCCAGAAATTACTATTTTAACCAGCATCCCCAAGTAATTCTGATGCAGGTGGCCAAAAAAACCAGTCTGAGGAATACCACTCTAGTTTCAGTGTCCAAAAGAAAAAAAATTGAGCTTCACTAACATTCAACATTCAAAATGACACTGATACCCCTGCCTGGTCCGAAAGGTACCCTGCAAGAAATACCAAAGTTTCACAATGAGAAGGGGTTGACAGTGGTCCTCATTTATTAATTTAAGCGTATGATGATACAGACAGTGTATGTTAAGTGTACTAATAGTAATGTGGATAGTAAGTGTCAGGAAGAATCTGAGGCAAGAAATCACTGGCCTGGGGTGTGTATGTGCCCAGTTAAGTGGATTTATAGATTCAGGACTAACTCAAATCAGCAATTCCCTTGGACTAAATATAATATAAAAAATAATAGCAAATGCCAATCATGAAATAGCAGAGATCACATTTCTTCTCTTCTTGGTAACATCTAAGGTAGAAACAATGACAATTTAGTCACATCTTTCAAGTCAGTCAAAATATAAGAAATTATTAAAACATCACTTAAATAGATTTAAATACTATAACAATAAACTTTACTAAGGGAATATTGTACACTTTGAGAGATAGGCTAATGGTAAGAGTTCACATATGTATTTTATAAACAAATATTTAAATAGGTAAGTAAGGGAATAAAAGCTTAGTTTGTACTGCCCTAAGCTATGGATGCTTTACAATTATATACTAATTCTATACCTACTGTCTGTAATGGCATATGAGGCTATGTACTTGCTCTTACAATTGTCCATGTATTTATTTATGTATTCACAACAACACAACATGAGCTTTTACAGAATTCTTCCCTTTGTTGATCACATTTCCCATCTGTGCGCTCTCACTCTCTGTCCTTCACATACCTGAAAGTATGATCATCCTTAAAAGCTCCATTCAGATCTATAGTCTTCCATAAAATCTTCCTTTTAATACCCCCAGGCCAGTGATTTCCTGTCTCAGATTCTTCCTGACACTTACTATCCACATTACTATTAATACACTTAACATACACTGTCTGAGAATTACTGCTACCATGAAACACTGCTACAATGTGAACAAATCATACATCACTAGACTACGGAGGACAGAAAAAATGTTAATACATGTGAAGGTTATGCTCTTACCTGTTCACAAACACTATTTCATTTATCTCTCAAAAGAACTCTAAGATTGTGTCATTATCCCTATTTTCAAGTGAGAAAATGGAGACTCAGAGATACAAATAATGTTTCGAGGCTGAGCAGCACAAGTCAAGATCTTGTCTCTCCAACTAGACTATGTGCAAAATTCTTATTTTATATAATCCTAAAACTCACCCCACTTTATACCATACATGACTGATACTTAAATGCAAATCAGCAAATTCTCTTGACTAACTTCTGTGTTTAACTTCCATTCCAGCCATTATGAGTATTTGTATCACTATTTTAACAAAAACAGCTTTTGTAGATTTTGACATTAAGTTCCGTTTACTGTAAGCATTTCTAAAAGCATAATTGCCAACAATGAAGGTTGCAACTTGCCAAAAGGCAGGGATTCTAGAGCAGCAATATCCAAATTACTCTATAAGATGATGTGTAAGCCAGGAGTGGTGGCACATGCCTGTAATCCCAATGGCTGGGGAGGCTGAGGCAGGAGGATCACAAGTTCAAAGCCAACCTCAGCAAAAAGCAGGGAGCTAAGCAACTCAGTGAGACCCTGTCTCTAATAAAAATACAAAATAGGACTGGGGATGTGACTCAGTGGTTAAGTGCCCCTGAGTTCAATCCCCGGTACCAAAAAAAAAAAGATGTGTAGTCTTCCCTTTTCAGACACTGAGTAAAATACATAAGAATTAAAGGCTTTCATATTAATTATTAGACCAACTCACTTTACAAATTCCAGACATCACCAGTGAGTACAGGCCCTGGGTTCAATCCCCAGCACCAAAATATTACCACCACCAAATGAGAAGGAGGCAAGCAAGTTAGGTTTCAATGTAATTTAACATAAACAGCCCAAGCCCACATATATACCTCTGATTATAATTAACTCTTAAAAGTTCTTACTGTGCACCCTGTAGCCAAAGCTGCAGATCTGAAGCAATCTTCTGCCTTTTTGGTCAAAACTTGAAGTTCTTTCAATGAGGGTGCACGGAAGTAATAAATTAATTCAGAGTAAGAGGGAATGATATTTGGTTTTACACCACCATTTTTTATTATACCTATAAAAAGAATCAAATTACTGAAATTAAGCCTGTGATCATTATTTTAAGGTTAAATATAATCCATAAGTTTTTTAGACAATATGTACATAAAGAAAAATAATCTAAACCTATTTACTTCACTGATATACCAAAATCAAACATTTTAACAGTTATACAACATAAATTTCTATTGAGAGAGTGATATTTCCTAGCTAAGAGGGAAAAAAATTGCTTATAAGTACTTTATTCTAAGGAATCTATATAACATTAGGAAATTATGATTCAGGGCTGAGGGTATAGCTCACTGATAGAGCACTAGCTTAACATAAGCAAGGCCCTGAGTTCCATCCCCAGCACCTCAGAAAGAAATTATAATCTAGATCATTAAAAAATTTTTAAAAATGTATAACTATAAAAAATGTGGTAATATCATAAGCTCTCTGGGAAAATTTTTCATTATTTTACTACAGTTGTACTGTTTGATAAAATTTTGACATTAAAAAAAAAACAATGTTTGAGGTTCTATAATTACCCTCATACTTCAAGAATTCCATAAATCCTCTAAATGGTATTTACCTCTGGGAAAATAATTTTCATACCAAAAAGAAATCATGCAGGTCAGGATCCTAAGTACTATAAACTGTCAAAACAAACACATTTGGAACTACACAGAATGAAGATTTATCCAAAGTAATAATAAAATAGATATGCAAAATCTAATTCTATATGGCCTACTTAAAAATGTCTTTCTTTTTTTTATTTTTTTAAATTTATATATGACAGTGAAATGCATTATAATTCTTATTACACATATAGAGCACAATTTTTCATATCTCTGGTTGTATACAAAGTATATTCACACCAATTCCTGTCTTTATACATGTACTTTGGATAATAATGTCCAGCACATTCCATCATCTTAAAAATATATTTCTAGGGGCTGAGGTTGTGGCTCAGTGGTAGAGCACTCACCTAGCATGTGTGAGGCCCTGGGTTCAATCCTCAGCACCACATAAAACATAAATAAAATAAAGGTATTGTGTCCAACTACAACTAAAAAATAAATTTTAAAAAATATATATTTCTATTATTTAAAAATTCCTATTTTTTTTCCTTTTAAAGAAAATAAGGCAGGAAATTGACAAAAGTGCAATTACTAACTGATTTCAGCCTATAGCAAAATTAACAGGTAAAAAAATAGATATTAAACTATAACAAAATATGTACCTTTAAGACAGTATACTTTATTACTGTATTTATATTATGGTGATACACATAATTTATTTAAAAGATGCTCTTCATGGGGCCGGGCTGTGGCTCAGTGATAGAGTGCTTGCCTAGCATGTGTAAGGCACTGGGTTCAATTCTCAGCGCCACATTTAAATAAATGAATAAAATAAAGGTCCATCGACATCTTAAAAAAAAAGATGTTCTTCAGGATGTAACAACCTTTATCAAAATCCAGTAATCGTTACACCTTTTTAAATTTGAGGAATGGACAAAATGTTGTTAACATTAAGAGACAATGGGATAACCAGAAAATCAAGTTCTTACTTTCAAACACTGACAGAAAAAACAGTTCCCCACATAAAACTTCAGCTCTATTGCTCAAAGATGGCCATTCCATTTATGTACAATAGTTGTAAATATCTTCCTATCCACATATAAATATCCTAGTACCCTAACACATGAATTCTGAAAATGTTCAAAATTTTAGAATTTTCATATGAAGTACATAACTATGTCTCCAATTTTTAAAAAAATCAAATATTAATTATATTTCACTGAAATATATTAAGCACCATTATACAAAATATATGACAGTAATACCATGAACTCTCCAGGTTGGTTTCATTTGCTGTCTTAACACAGACAAATTGTTGTAGGCAAGAACAGCAGCATCTAAGGCATTGACTCCTTCCCAGGGGTAAGCAGCAGCATGAGATGCTTTTCCGTAGTATTTCACAGTCACACTAGGAAATAAAAAAATCATTGAAAGGGCTGGGGCTGGGGCTCAGGCTCAGTGATACAGCACTTGCCTAGCACGCATGAGGCTCTGGGTGGGATCCTTAGCACCATGTAAAAATAAAATAAAGATATTGTGTTCATCTACAACTAAAAAAAAAAATCATTGAAAATTACTCCCTCCAGTATCACTAAAGTAAAAAAAAAAAAAAAATGCAGGTAGTTAGAACTACCAAACTATTATTCAAAATTAATTCACATTGCTGAAATTTTTACTTGCAAATTATTTGCAGTAAAAGCACTACATTTACTTGCATTAGTTACAACTTATTATTATGTGACATAGTACTTAACTCAAAGAAAGCATTCTAAATAGAGAAAGAAAATGTTGCTCAACCAACCTCCTACAGATTAAATTTGTACACAATTCAACTTGAACACATATGCAATACTATATTACATGATGCAATTATAAAATAGGAGTTCTTGCATCCTTTTACACTGAATGATGATAGCTCTCTATCAAAAGTCTGCAAAAACTCAGATAAGGGCTAGGGATATAGCTCAGTTGGTAGAGTGCTTATCTTGCATGCACAAGGCCCTGGGTTCAATCCCAGCACCCAGCACCACAAAAAAAAAAAAAAAAAAAAAAAACTCAGATAATTCTTTATTAGAAAGTAACATTTGAAATGGGCTAAGATAATCTTTGAAAATCACTTTATACTCACAATGTTATCATAAGATACCCTAGCAATATTTTAATGTTTCCAAATACTTTAGGTGGCTAACATTTTATTTAACTTAATTTGTTTCCAGCACTGGGGATGAAACCTGGGCCTCATACATGCTAGGCAAGCTCCCCACTACTGAGCTATATCCCCATACTTCATTAATGTTTTAAAATTCTATAAATTATCATTACTTCACTCCATGGTTTTCATATTCTCAGATTGTGAATTAAATACTTATAACTTTATAACTAAATAATAGTGTAACTAAGTGATTGACTTACTTAGTTAACACTTTTTAAACTAGTATTGTTCACATTTAGACTAAAAAACCATCTGGACATTCAGGAGTTCTTAGAATGCTACCAATTCTTATGTCATTCCTCACATTCTGTTAGCAGAACGAAGTTAAGTAAAAACATTCAAACACATTTATAAGATTGTAAGATACTTATTTCCTTGACATATATCTTTTCACCATCACCTTGAAACTAGAGTATAAAATGGAAAAGGAAGTCCTTTATGAAAATGGCTCTAGTACCATTTTTTTTCAGTTGTTTACTGATCTTTATATATTTATTTATATGTGGTGCTGAGAATCGAACCCAGTGCCTCACATTTGCCAGGCAAGCGCTCTTCCACTGAGCACTTAAATATACAATTAAAGAACAATAAACTACAGGAAAAGAAATATTAAAAGTTATTTTATATTAGCATTAATATTTTGGCCTTTAAAAACATACTTCAAGCAAAATAATATGAAATTATTTTCAAAACAAACTGTTTGATTTTGTTTTAACAAAACAAGGGCCTGTGAACTAGTTATGGTGGCACTTGCCTCTGGTGCCAGCTATTGGAGGTTGAAGCATGAGGATCAAGAGTTCAAGGCCAGCCTGGGCAACACAGAAAGACCCATTTCAAAAAAAAAAAAAAAATTTAAATTAAAAAATAGGGCCAAAACAATGTGTGTGTTTGTTTGTGTATTTATTTATTTATTTATTGGTAACAGGGATTGAATCCAGGGGTGCTTAACCAGTTAGCCACCTCCCCACCCTTTTTTTTTTTTTTCTTTCTTACTTGAGACAGGGTTTCACTAAGTTACTTAGGGCCTAAATTGCTGCATCTGACTTTGAACTCACAATCTTCCTGCCTCAGCCTCCTGAGTCACTGGGATTACACACATGTGCCACTGCAACTAGCTAGAACAATATATTGAATGGCTGGGCATAGTGATACATGCCTGTAATCTCAGTGACTCAGGAGGTTGAGGTAAGAGGACTGTAAATTCCAGGCCAGCCTTAGCAACATGGGAAGTCTCTGTCTCAAAAAATAAAAAAAGAGCTGGGGATGTTTCTCAGTTGTAGAGGGCCCCTGAGTTCAACCCTGAGTACCTCAATAAAACAAAATAAAATGTGTGTATGTGTGTGTGTTAAGCTGAATTCCTCAGAGAGAGAGAAAAAAACAACAAACCTTCCTTCAATATTTAATTTATACATGTACCTATGCATGTCCTATAAACCTATGCATGTGCTATAAATACACCTCTAAAGAGGGGACTGGAGGGTTAGTGCTGTAGCTGAGTGGTAGAGTGCTTGCCTAGCATGTGTAAGGACCTGGGTTCCATCCTCAGCACTGGAGAAAACAACAACAGCAAAGAAGGGACTGGATATGGGAAAGGTGGCCAATAGGAAAAACTTGCTTTATCTTATTCATTATTAGAAATTTAAAGAGATAAATAACTTTCTTTAAATTCTTCATCTTGTTCCTCTTTTGTGGAAATCTTAAAAAGATGACCCATGAAAAAACAAAGAAGCCAGACACTGAAACAGGCCTGGGGCCAAGTAGGCTGACTAATAAAACCATCTCTTACAAATCTTTTCAGTTGCAAAGGCAACTCCTTATCAAAGAATACACACTTTCCAGAAATCAGATTCCTCTCAGAGTTCAAAACAGAACACAAATGTCACCATGTTCTGTTTGCTACTCCTATGTTTTTTAGGCACTATTTTAGCAGCCCTATTATGAGTACTATAATAAATCTCAATTAGAAGAGTCTTGCCAAATGTCACTCAATGTTAATCAAGACATCACATTATCTTTCAATACACTTTTTGTTTTGTTTTGGAGTCTTACCAAATGTCATTCAATGTAATTAAGACATCACATTATCTTACAATATACTTTTGTGTGGGTGTGGGGGGGGGGTTGCTGGGGATTAAACCCAGGGCATTGTGCATAGGAGGCAAGCACTCTATCCCCAGCCCTTACAATATACTTTTTGTTTTGTTGTTCTATTTTTAGATGGGGTTTCAATACACTGCCCATTCTGGTCTCCTAATTCATACAGGATCAAGCACTCTCCAAGTAACTGCAGCTATAGGCACACACCACTGCATCTGACTCAATTTACTGGGTTTTTTTGTTTTGTTTTTAATTGGAGCATTATAATTATACACAGTAGTGGGATTCATTATACCATATTCATACATGCACATATCAATTTACTTTTTTTTTAAGAGAGAGAGGGAGAGAGAATTTTCTTAATATTTATTTTTCAGTTTTCAGCGGACACAACATCCTTGTTTGTATGTGGTACCGAGGATCGAACCAGGGCCGCACGCATGCCAGGCAAGCGCGCCACCACTTGAGCCACGTCCCCAGCCCCTCAATTTACTTTTTAAATGAAAAAAAATTTGGAGTGTTGGGCCCTTAGACATAAAAGTATTCTATATCAGTTATCCTCTAAGAAGTTTATCTGCAACTTGATTACTTACTCATGTTCGGCCACATCGGGTAGATAAGCAGCATTTTCTTGGGATGGGTGGGCCATGAAAACAACATCGAGGTTTTTAAAAGCTCCTGCTTCAATTAGATCAATTTTGCCTCCACCATCTTCTTCTGCAGGGGTTCCCAGGACACTTATCTAGAGGGAAATACCTATTTCAGAGCAAAACAACAACAAAAAGTCCTAGTAGGAAAATATCAAACAGGTTCCCTCAAACATGTACTCACAATCTATATTAAGGTTCTTAAACTATGGAGACAGAGGATTTATGCAGTGGGCATAAAATACATGGTGCTAAATTAATCACAAAATTTAATTTACATTATTATACTAATTTGAAGTAATGTATGTACCAGGGGCACTATAAGAAACTTTCCCAATATTTATTAATAGTTATTTGTAATAACTCAAATTTGTATAACTAATGGCAAATATGAAAAAAGTTGAATATTACATACCTAGTTCCTCAAAATTTGCAAGGACTTATTTCTTAAAGCTTCTTCATGACTTAGACGTTTAGTAAAAGTATAGAGCTATTCACCAGCATTTTACTGGTAAGGAATTTTTCAAGTGACTTGTTAGTCATCCTCACAACAACTCTGTGAGGTAGATGAGTAACTGGCATCATCATTTTGGGGAGGGTGGTTTTGAAAGTGTCTTGCCCCAGGTCAAAGAGCAAATCTTCAGGCACAGCTAAATTACCTTAGATGCCCTAACCTGCTGGCCTGAACTATTCCTTAATAAGCTACCTACTTAAAAAGTCTTAACTCATTAATCCCTTATGAAGAGCATTAAACAAATCTTAATACCATGGTAAGAAATGGCCAACTACTACACAAACTTACTAATCAACCAAGGCAGATTTACTGGTCACTAAACACCTAATTAAACAAAAGAAAACTTTACAGAATAAACATTTTACTTTGAAACTTAAGCTTAACTTCTTCAATTTTAAAAAGCAAAGGAAAATTATCTATAAACAACTCATATATTTTCAAGGTCATGTCTTTGAACACAATGGAACAACCTGGAAAAAAATTCTTGGCTTGCAAAGAGAATCAGCTCAAATTCCATTTTCAGATAAGACAGATAACCTTGCTAAACTGAGAACAGATAACCTTGCTAAACTGAGAACAGATAACCTTGCTAAAACTGAGAACAATCATTTGGAATGAGAAGTTGGTACATTTCTCAAAGTCCAGTTTTCTTTAGAAACCATAGTGTCCACACTCTTAAACTAGCTGCTCTTTATTCTTAACTCTAGACTTATAAAATCGATGGTCTATTGCTGACAGTTCCCAGTCTTTCATAAACCTGGTTAAAACTAAATCTCTCCAATGTTTTATGCAATGACAAAGGATATTCCCCCTTCCCAACAAAACAAAAAAGTTAATCTAAGGCAAAAACCAGCCCCCAGCGGCTGAAAATAGAAGGTAGCTAAAGGGAAAGCCTAGAGAGATGGAACTGTTAGGACAAAAGAGAAAGGTTACTGACATTGGGGGGAAATGGGCTAAATAATATTAAAACATTTGTCTTCCCTTTAACCTGAGTGATGATGATTGAATCTTAGCTCACAGAATGAAGAATAATATAACATCTGGAAAAACAGAATAACACAAGATTAAACTTGCCTAAGACAAACATAAACAACATTTCCCGTTTAAGGAATTGGTATATTTCTTAAAATTGTGAAATAAAAATTAAGACTTAAGGATGAACTTATCTTTGTACTAAATGTTCATTTGCTTTTCCATTATTAGTATAATTCTAGAAGTTAGAGGATTCTAATGGCTGAAAATTTCCTATTCAAATACCAAGCAAATCATACCCCCCCCCTCTCTCTCTCTCTCTCTCTCTCTCTCTATATATATATATATATATATATATATATATAGGTTTTCCTACAAAAATTACTTTCTCCTGAAGTAATTGGAGGAATTACTTGTCAGCAAATTGCAGTTGCCTCTCAGTCACCAAAAATAACCCGTAACAAAAACCAGGCTTGGTTCTCAATTCTTTCCAAGAGAAGAATCTCCTGAGTTGTTTATAACTACAAAAGTGGAAATAAAAAGTCTGCAGAAGGTCGCTAGTCGGCAACACGTTTAGTCCTGACTTTCTTTCGGGGATTCTTTTCTGCCTTTTGCCAAAGGGATGGCCACACGTCAAGTGCACTCCCTACACCTGCCCAGGGACTAAGGTGCAAGGGATGTACCGGCCCCACCTCACCTTCACCGAGGGAGGAGGCCCAGGGAGGCTCTCTAGGGCCCCCCTCAATCCCAGAGCGGCCGCCGCCCCAACCTCGGCTATGAGGTTGTGACCGCAGGCGTGGCCGATGCCGGGCAGCGCGTCGTACTCGCAGAGGAAGCCCAAGTGCAGCGCGCACCGCGTGGCGCTCGGTGTCTCCCATTCTGCGCGAAAGGCGGTCGGCAGCTGATAGTGCTGCTGCACCACCCAGGAGGCGGCCGGCGGCTCCTGCTCGAAGAAGCCCGTCAGCACACGGTGGGCACGGTGTTCCTCGTAGGCCAGCTCAGGCTCGCTCCAGATGGCTTGGCTCAGGGCCCCCAGCCGCTCTGCCGCCTCGTCGATGCGCTCCGCCGCGCGCAGTTTCAGCAGCTCCAGCTCTGAGAAGCCATCGCACGCAACCCCGACCGTCGGCCGCTCCCCTTCGGGTTTCATCGTGCGCAGGTCCCGCAACCCTTCAGGACTCCGCCCGCTCGCTCAACCGCACGGAGCGTCCCGCCGCACTTGCTCACTGGAACCCGGGCCTCGCGCGCAGAGTACAGCTCTCGGCCCCGCCCTCCGCGCCCTGGCAGGTGCTCCACCCCGCGGAGGGGGTGGCTGTGAAGAAGGCGGGGCCCGGGAATCCACCGTCTTACTGGCTGTCTGGGAGGTTGATTTACACTGCAAAACTCATTCTTACTTTTCCGTCTTATTTTCCATAGCCGCCAAAAGAGTACGTTCTTTTGGGTAATAGCCATCATCAGAGGCGGGCAAGCTGGAGATACTCATCTTAAAAACGCCACTCTCTTTTCTAAATAAGTGATACAAGATTTTTAGTTTGTAAAAGATGACGTCAGTATAAATGCTGTATAAAGAACACAGTCCTCAAGACGACACATTTCAGTTCTCAGTGCTGCCCCCTTTTCTTCTCCTTGAGGCTGTATTGTCTAAAAGTTGCGACTGCTTTAAATAATTTTCTGGTTAGAACAAAAATATAAAGCCACCTGGATTACATAGAAAGCTCTTGATGTGTATTAACTATCATACTATAGTTCATTTGAATAGAATAGAAATCAGAATTTAAAATAGATTTAAGCCCAGGAGCAGTGGCACAGTAATCCCAGCGCCCGGGGAGGCTGAAGCAGGAGAATTGCAAGTTCAAAGCCAGCCTCATCAATTTAGGAAGGCCCTGCCTCTTGATAAAATATTTTAAAGGGGGTGGGGGTGGGGCTGTAACTCAGTGGTAGAGCGCCTGCCTCGCATGTATGAGGCACTGGGTTTGGTCCTCCGCACCACATAAAAATAAATAAATTAAAGATATTGTGTCCATCTACAACTAAAAAGTTTAAGAAAAAAAAATATTTAAGAAGGGTTGGGGATGTGGCTCAGTGCTTAACCCTCCTGGGTTCAATCCTCGTTACCTGCCCCCCACTAAAAATGGATTTAGAAAACGCAAACAAAATATTTATGGTAAAAATATTCATGCTACTTTATTGATTTGGATAGTTGCTTTGAGTTTGTTGATTTGGACAGTAACATCTTTGAAAGGGAACATATGACTAGTTTCATTTACAATTTTAATTGATGCTGAACTCAAGTAACATGATATGTGCAGCTGGTGTTCACATTATAACTGAGTTTTAAATTACCCAGTGAACAACTTCAAGATGTCATGCTCTTGTTTTTGTCCAGAGTGAAGCGTAAAATCTGAAAATCTGTTGTTGATGATATGCCTATTAATAACATTGTAAAGGTTTATGTCTGAGGTTTTTCACATATTAAAAGCTTCTATCAGCTCTTCCTATCTATGCTCTTAATTGTCCAACTGAACTAAGACACAATATATTTGTGTAAAAAGCCAAATGTATCATTTGAAAAGTCTAAAGGAAGCTAATATGTGAAGACAATCAACTACTGTTTTTACTACTTTATCTAACAGTGACAGAATAAAATGTCATATTCTAACTTGAAAACACTGTCTTTATCATTTAACACCCTGATACTCAATATTAAAGACAATAAATATGGTACTAAATTCCTGGATTCCCTTAGCTGTGCTTAATAGAGCTTTTCTGGTATACCCCTGACAAAAATCTCCTGTATCCATGAGATTCAATATTATTGTGCTCAGTTAGTTGGCTAAAAATCCAGGACCGTGTTAGAGAAAAACAATAGATGACATTTATACAGCACTTACTCTGTACCAGGCACTGTTCCAAGTGCTTTACATGTATTAGCACATTTCATCCTTATCCTAAATTTGAGGTTGTTAATGTGATTATATATCTTCATTTTACAGATTAAAGTCTGAGATTACACAACTAGTAAGTAGTAGAGCCAGTGTTATACAGAAGCCAGAGTCTTTAGCCACCATGCTCAATTGCTTAGGTAAACCGTCATCCAAATTTCATAAGTGAATCTACCACTCATCTATATTAGAACTCACAACAATCACACATCTCGAATAGATTTTACTGCAGTGACTCTGTCTACCAGCATCAGTAGAACCTGTTTGTTTTCATCAAGCAGCAATAAACAGCAGCAGAAAAAAGGTACATATAAATTTTATATACAAGCTTCTATTTATATTACTTGTTACAAATAAACAAAGCTGTCACTTAAGGTAGAGAAAAGATAAATTCTAAGCTCTGGTCCTTTTGAATATGTGTGCATGTGCATGCATGTATGTATTAGATTTCTAGTGTTGACCCTCCCTATATTTCTTGCTCATGGTACACTGTAGCCTTTAATTCATTTATTTAGTATATTGTGATCACTTGTTGAATGTATAACATCCCCTCCAGTCTTTAAACTCTTTTGTTTTCCCACTTTGTTTCCCAGCACCTAACATTATATATTCATGATACAGTCCTTCCTGTGTCAATAAATATTTGTTAACTGGTTTTTCTTCTTGGATCTAATAAGGTAATCGAGTAATGGTAATAATTAACTTCTAAACTTCATTAAACTACATACAGACACTGTGTATGTAAATGTCATGCTTCCTCCTAGACATCTCATTCCTTTAGCTGGAACTAGGGGTGCAGGAAGCATGGCTTCTAAAAGCTGAAATTGGAAATGTTGTATTCTTGAAACTAGTAAGTTCAGTAATGCTTACTATTACTTTTATGTCTACCTATAATATTCTTACAACTGTCTGCCATATCTATGTGCTGCTACTAAAGAGCCTACAGTAATTTTTACTAGGATAAAAAACATGTAGAAAAATCCTGTGTGGCTCAGCGGTTAAGCACCCCTGGGTTCAATCACTGGTACCAACAAAAAAAACAAACAATAATTCAACTGACTTAAAAACTTTGAAGCAGGAAATTTATGAAAATTAGTTGTGTGCTTTGGTGAAAGGAGGAGAGGAAAAAATTTCCTTTACCATAGAAAAATAACACTACTCGTGGCTTAAGTACCTTACTATATTGTACAAGACTACAGTACATTGCATTTTGGCCTTCAGATCCATCTTGTGACAACAGGCTTTGATATGGTTTATAATCCTTGAATAAAAATAATAATTAAATAAAGTTCCCAACACAAATGGACAAAGTATGACCTAAAAGAGGAAAAAAATCGATATTTTAAGAATAAAGAAATATTGGAGGAGAAAGGAATGAAATAATTTGATCCTTGGAGAGAGTGCATCTCTCTCTCTCTTTCTCTCTCTCTCTCTCTCTCTCTCTCTCACACACACACACACACACACACACACACACACACACACACACTTAAACCTTTAAAGTGCAGAATAAGAGAGGTATTTCCTAAAGTACATTTGTATTTTGATTACTTTTTTTCAGCTTAAGTATATTTGGAATGTGATTAATTTTCTCCAAAATAAAGCAGGGCATACTACATGATTTGGGGGCTGCTACTATCAACAAGCAGAATAAGCAAAATACTGTGTCACTCTAGTGTACTGACCATTTACAATACTCCCTAAGTAAAGACACCCCACCCAGAAATTATAGTTATCTCCAGAAAGCTCTCCAGCTAAAATAACATGTACCTCACACTTGATAGCATATTAAGAAATCAGTCTTGGCTAAGAAGTTAAAAGAGCTGGTAAAAACAAAACTTAATTGGGGGTGAAGGGACATGGAAAAAATACATTCAGTGCTTAGGAATATTAACTATCCAGACAATGGGCAAACTATTGGATGTGGTTAAGCAGGAGAGAGGTAAGATCAGAATTTTGTTCTACAAGAATAATTGATGACTAGATGAGCAATAAATTGGAAAAAGAAAAGACTAAGACCTGAGATAAGATGTTCCTGCAAAGGCTTCCAGAAACATCCACAGATAGAAGTGACCAGATGTAATGCCCAAATGAATAACTATTAACATTTGGCTACATGTATTTCCAGATGCTCTCTCTCTCTGTATGTGCATATGCTCACATGTATGTAACTAGATTAATCTGTGTATGGCTGGGCCCCTTATTCCAGCCTCCTTTCATCTTTAGGCCAGACTTAATGCATTAAATTCAAATCTACACCACTGATGGTTATTATAGATTTGGCAGAATGCTTTGAAAAGAGATAAAAGAGAGCATCTTGTCCAATTCTGCACTGTGTTTGGGAGAGGGAGACACAGTAGAAAAAAAATAAAAAGAAAAAAGTTGAGTTAGGGACAATGGGAGAGTGAAGGGCAAGTTGATGAACACGTGTGGGACTTGTAGAGAGGAGGTGGATGCAGCCATCTAAGAAGAGACTATCAGGGGCACTAAGGAAAAGTGCATTTCTACTTATGAACTGTGCATAATGGTTACATCTAAAAGAGGACTAAATCATCCAGAGAGTGAGAGGCTAATAAGGGAAAAATTAAATCTGAGGAAACAATGCTGGGAAACAAGCAATGGGAATGAGCAAAAAATGCTTGGCAGGTGCCAGCTTCTATTGGGTAAGGTTCTATTACAACTTGCTTTTAAGCTCTATATAGATTTTCTCAAACAGCTATTTTAAATCCCTGGATGTCCTGATACTTGGTGACTTCCGGCTCCCTTTGGCTTTCTTCCCTTCTGATAGTGAAAGTAGCTGCTCTGCTCTCGATAGTCATTCCTGGAAATGAGGACAGAGAGGTTCTCTCTGGGGACAGGTCTCCCCTTTGCCCTGATTCCCCATGGCCTAAACACAACTCTGCTAAGAGGTACACATCCCAGTCGGTGTGAACGAGAAATTTTCGCACCTAAAGTTATGGCCCATAAGCTGCTCTGAGTGTCAGTTGATCATTATATGACCTTCTGCTGATGCTGTTAAGCCCGAAAAGGCAAAGTGACCCAAGTACACAGGGACATGCCCTCTATTTTCAAACAGTAGAGGCATATGACTTTCCCCAAATGGGCAGCAGCTGTGCAAGAGCCAGCCAGAGCCAACTGGAAGAGTCATGGCTACTGGAACGCCAAAGTTTCATGCCACGGCAAAATCACCATTATAACAAAAGCTCAGAAAAAAAAAATCATTTCTACACATTTTGGTCCCTAGCTGATCTGTT